CAGGCATTGGAACAGGCTGCCCAGGGAGGTGGTGGAGTCCTCATCCCTGGAGGGGTTAAAAAAACGTGTAGATGTGGCACTTCGGGACATGGTTTAGCAGGCATGGTGGTGCTGGGTTGACAGCTGGACTTGATGATCTTAGAGGTCTTTTCCAACCTTAACGATTCAATGACTCTATGATTTAAAGAAGTTGCCAGACTTGCTCTCCACAGTCTCTTCTGATACTTTGCATGCCTGATTCAATCACATACAAATGTATTACACCTGTTTATAAGATCACAGAGTTAAGACAAGTTTTCAGTATGTTAACAGAGTATTCAATGAAATTGTTATTGCAGGTGTTAACTGCTAGACAACATATACTTCGGAAGAAAATCAATTTTTGTGCCTTTTTTTAAAGAAATAGAACCAAAAGATTAAATACCTTTACTTCATCTGCGCGTCGGAACCTCTTGAGCTGTCTCAGTCTCATATATTCTGATTTCACACGTTTTCGCCAACAAATTGGTCCCTTCTCAGATTTTTTTCCGGTTTGACCCATGATTATCCTACAAGAAACAATGTCATGTTAGTATTACCAAACACAACGCTGCTGCTTACAGAGGAAGTTGAAGTTAGGTAGGATAAAGACATTCCTTTATTACCTTTCATATGCAATTTCTTTAATTCATTTCAATCAGACACCTGCAATACCATCCCAATCCAAAAAAAACCAACACCAACCCACCCCAAAAAACTCCCAAACCTAAACATAACATACTTAAGTGACAGACACTGGAAAACAGTAATTGTAATTACAAATCAGTGGAACCATTCACATTTGCTTTAAACACTTCTAACGCCGCTATAAAGATACCTAATGGATTTAAAGGGGTGCAGGGGAACAAATCAAGACTCCCACTGCAAAGATACACACTGGAATCCTTGCCACCAGTCTTGTCAATTAACTTCTGGACATCTACGTTCACGGCAGACAAACCTTTCCCTCCTTGCAGGAGTGGTCCTCTTCAGCAATATACCAACTCCTACAATAGGCTTCTGGAGTTGATTTCAAGTGCAGAGACACACCCCAAGTACAGTCCTCCTACCCAGCCACTCAAGTGTCAAAAAGTTCTAGAAATTCAGACATAAAGAGTTTTAAAACAGCCAGAATAAGAGACCTTGCTCTTTTCTCAAGCATTCTACAAAACTCCAGACTGTCCATCTGACTGCAAACAGGACAGTGATTCCACTTTTACTGATCACCCTCCTAGTACCAAGTGCTTCATTTGTATGTTACAGGACTGTTGGCAATGAAGTTGTATTTTTACATTACAAACCAAATGTGTTGTTAGAATATGCCAATCTGCTCAGCATTTTTCAAAATCAAGGACCGTATGCTGCGATTATGCTGGCAACGACTATTTTGACAGCATCCTGAAACAAAACCACTACATCGAAGACTGGCTTCCTCTTGATACCTGTAAATGTAAAATTTCCACTTACCAGAGTGATTGTAATTAAACTAAACTAGATCCTTGCTGTTCTGAGAAGACAAGAAAGCTTTAAGATAAAGAGGCTCCTCAATAACACTACTTAGACAAACTCGACTTGCTGTTTTGAGAAGGCAGGAAAGCGAGGACTGCTAACTGCAGAAGGGAAGCATATCAAATATGCTGAGGAAATCCTTCGCCTATTAGAAGCCATTCAACTACCAACAAAAGTTGCCATCATGCACTGCCGAGGACCCCTGCAGGGTAACACTGACCAGGAAAGAGGTAACAGGTTGGCTGACTATGAAGCTAAACAAGCAGCAGAAAGATTTTAGCCTTAATCCCAGACAACAGAAGTATAAACTTAACTGACAAAAAAAAATATTGAGTATTCTAAAAATGATGAAGAATTAATAAAGGGATTAGGAGGACAGATTCCATCCCAGGAATAGGCCCACTCAAGTGACGGCAAAATCATAATCCCTGTTAAACAGATATGGGGGGTGGTTAAAAAAGAACACAATAGAACACATTGGGGAGCAGACTCTCTGTATAAATTTTTAAATCAGAAATGAATAAGGAAAAATATGTATACTACAGTCCGACAAGTAACCCAACAGTGTGAAATATGTTTAAGAATAACCCCAACACAGGTAACCGGGTACAGTTAGGAAGTATTGGAAAAAGAAGTGTACCAGGAGACCACTGGCAAATTGATTTCTCTGAACTTCCAAGAAAAGGAGAGTACAGGTACTTATTAGTACTTGCAGATACTTTTTCAGGTTGGCCAGAAGCATTCCCTCATAGAACAAACAAAGCAAGGGAGGTAACTAAGGTATTATTAAATGAAATAATACCTTGGTTTAGGGTACCAACAGTTATCTCCTCGGATAAGGGGACACATTTCTGTGCAGAAGCAGTGCAACAGGTCAGCAGACTATTAAGAATCAATTGGGAGTTACATACGCCCTACAGACCACAAGCCAGTGGGCAAGCAGAAAAGATGAACCACATGATAAAA